TAACTGATGAATAAAATAAGGAATAATTTAGACTTGAATCTTTTTAATAGATTCAGGCTAGAAGAGGTCTCAGGAAATTTGCTTCTCCTTGAAGCTTCTAAAAGCCTCACCCTGAGTTAAACCACCTTCTGTGGACTGATTCTTAACCAGATGCTAGAATGACTCTTGAAAACAATGATGGTCAGAATGTAGCATGGTTAGATCAGGTATGAAATGAAGTTGACTTAGGATAAAGTTGCCTTCTTAAACCACGAAATCTACATATAATGGATCATATTAAAAAAAATATATATATATATATAACCACACACACATACCAAATTGCACTCAAGAAAAGTGAATGGTGAATGGCTTCCTGGTTAGTATGCTTGATGAAGAAAAGGGGATTTTGCCAATGAACTTGAGTAGTCCAGATCCTTTGGAAAACAATCTTTATAAAGAGGAAAGTTATTTAAGCTACATTACATGAAGGACTACTCTCATTTTGAACTACCTCTTTTTGCTCTGATTACATTCTCATCAGTAAATGTGGGAACAAAGTGAATTGATCTGTTAAAGAGAAGTGGCAACATTTATTTTTATAAAAAGTAGCTGTGTTCAGGATTATATGTCAAACTCCTATGAGTTTGGGTGATAGCCATAAAAAAAAATAATAATAAGCATACTATCAGGATGAGTAAAGAACGTTTGCCTTGAGCATTATGTTCTTTTAAGAACCATCAATGTGGGATCAAACTGACAATAGAAACTCCAAAGACTGGATCGAAACCTTAGGAAGTATTCAGTTTATGTTAATGGGAGAAGAATAACTCAGAAAAGGATGGTGGAAATGGTTGCACAATTCGAAGAATGAAAGCAATGTTACTGAACAGTACATGTACAAACTTCAACTGGTGTATGCTTTACTGTATATAGTCTATGGAAGCCATGGAAGCAAAGAAGACTAGAATTAACACGACTAACTAACTAGAATTAACTAATCTACATTCAACTCTTGGGCTGGAGATTGAGCCAGCCTCTCAGATGGTTGTAGAAGTCAAAGTAATGGGATCCAAGCCCTGCCCATATGATGCTACTGTGATCTTTTTATTACTCTTATAATATAGGACATGGTGGTATTAGAAGGAACTCTAAGACATCTCTTAAGTTTCACCTGTATCCTCCTTTTTTCTCAATGGTGTAGTAATAACTATTCTTCTCTTCTAATTAGGTTTAATCACTCCAATGACAACATAACTACCTCCTATCATAGTTTTTGTTGTGTTTTGTTTTTCAGTCTGTTGGCTTAGGGGAAAGACAACCTACAAGGGCAAGAAGGTAGTCTCAGCTTTCATTCTGTTACATGGGGGTTGCTAAAAGTCAGAACTGACTCAAAGGAACCCAACAACAAGAAGAAGAGGAGTGGATCAGCATAGTGAAGGGCAGTGAGGACCCAACTATTTCTAGATTTTAGTTTACACATGAGCCAATAAGTTAGGAATTTGAGTTCATCTTTCTCTTTCCTTATCTTATCAAGCATGCCTATCTTACTGTCAGGCTAGTTCATATTCTTATCCATTACCCTGTAATGTTAAGTTTACTCTGGAGAAACTGATGCACTTTCATTAGAAAGATAAAGTCAAATTATTATGCCTATAGAACTAAAGTTAAAACCTCAAAAGGTAAAACCAGAAGCAGCTTAGTGGCCTGCCAGCCTTCAGTAGTATTATTTCTGTATTTCAGCAGATAGCTAAAATGTAATAGAGTTGGTGTAGAGAAGCAGACATGAAGAAAATGGTCTGTTAGTTTAGCAAATTATTTGGCATGGATACTTCTATCAGTTTGAATTCAATATTGTTCTCAGGTTAGTTGTCTTACCCTTTTTTTCCAAAGTGACCATGCATATTAGATGACAATCAACATACAGAACATGGAAAAACCTCCCAGTCTATTAAGAGTGAACTTTTAGTGTTTTTGTAATAAATACTACCAAACCAAAGGAAACAAAAATATAACTGCAAATCCATAGACTTTTAATAAAAGAGAAGACTAGACTATATGTAAAATAAACTTCAGGTAACTATTAGTGAACAACTTTTCAATCTCGGTGTTTATTCTTTAAGAATACAAATTTATTTATACAGAGTATAATTACAAATAATCTATATTAGGATCTCTCAACAGTGTGTACCTTGGAATATTCCTTTACCAAAAAATAAAAAAAGTAAAAACAAAAACATCATGGTTTAAAAAAAACTTGGAATATAATGAATACAACTTCCCTCTTGTAAATACTCACAAAAGGAATATTTGAAAAGTTGTGCTGTAAATAAGCCAATTAATCTTAACCTATCATTACCCAAATTTTTAAAACTTGGGAACCCTTTTAACAATGTACATTATCCTGTGAAATAATTAGTCTAAAGAATATTTCTCATAATAGATTGTATCCAAGATAAACTTAGTAAAATGCATAAAATTGTATCCATATCTTTCTGTATGAACACAGGAAAAATGTGATTGTACAGTTACAAAAAAAACCTTACTTTATCTAACCTCAATGAGGCTATTACATAAAATGACAACAACAATACACATACACAAAACCTCCTTTTCAAAACGTATTTTATACAAACAAAAGTAATCCTGTAACATATTAATGTTAAACCATGTCCACTACCAATTTTTCAGAATCTCATTTTAAAATGACTATAAATAAAATGTTTTACATACTAAATGGAGTACAAGGAATATAGCTTACAGGTTGGTAAGTAAAATTACTGTAGCATAGTACTGCTAATGGAATAAAAATGATACACACAACTTGTACATGCAGGAAAAATACAGGCTAATATAAACTGATGGTTTTCAGCATATTCCTTTATTAGAATGTGGTCATCTGCCACAAAGTACACAAGCTCATGCATAAGGTCAAGACGTTACATACAGCTGAGATCACAATGTCATGCATGTAACAAGAGCGTGCTAAATAATCATACCACAAACTGTGCAGATGTTCTCCCCCACCCCATGAGCCACTGCCAGCAGTTGCTGTGGAGTTTGGTTACCCATATCCATGACATGAACGGTGTCCTTTGAAGAATCTTGTTCCCTGTGGCTGTAAGTATTCTTATTTTTATAATATTTTAATGATGCTTGCTATCAAAATGTTAAGTACAGAACTAGAAATTATGAAAAATACTTTTTACAATATTGAACAATAGTATACATCTTATCTCAGGCAATTGTAATAAACACCAGTTACATTTACACATATCATTAAAACTAATTTACTTCTTTGACTTAAACGAATCTAAAATAATACATCTGATGACGGTGCTCCAGTGAGGGGAAATATATCAATCTCCAAAAAGTATTCCATGATTTCTACTACTCAAATATTTGGCAAGAGCCACGCTACTGGCCTGGCTAAAGTATGACTCATACAGACAAGTTCTTTATAATAACATCTATTAGAATAACTATTTTTCCCCTCCCCCCATTAGAATAACTTTTACTTACATGATTTCAATTTTGAAGACTTGGCTTGGTTAACAGCTAACCAAATTGACATTCATTATTTATATTAATCAATGAATGAAAGTAAGGAATTTAGTCAATTAAAATTATTCCCGTCATTTCTCTGCACCTATCAAGTTTATTTCAATGTCTTTCTTTGCCTATTTATAGCCTAATTGCATTCTGACAAAGAATTTAATTTTGGTATTAGGTGACACCTGCTAATTACTGGTGCTCATAAAAGTACAGATTCAGAATTCTGAAGTTTATGACACTTTGAGTGGTTCAGCTCTAGGCCTCTCAGCCCCATACCATTTCAGATTGGTGTATTCAATACTTCTAGAATGCCTCAGGATAGTTTTAAATCAATCCAAGAAGTAAAGAAAAAGAAAATACAGCCAACTCTCAGTGATAATGGAAGGTAGGATGGATAAGTAAAATCTGGAGTTTGGAAAATCTTATTTTTGACTTAACAACTTCAATCCTGTGTCTTAGCAAACACTGACTTAAATACAAAAAAAAAAAAAAAAAGAAAAAAAGAAAATTTACCAGACAAAAAATGGACTTAAATTTACCTCTGTTCTCTGTTTTCTTCCAAATACTCTAGGGAAAAAAAAAGAAAAAAAAAAAAACAAACCACTTCCATTGAGTTGATTCCAACTCATAGCAACCCAACAGGACAGAGTAGAACTTCTCCATAGGGTTTCCAAGGCTGTAAATCTTTAAGAAAGCAGACTGCCCCAAATTTCTCCCACAGAGTGGCTGGTGGGTTCAAACCATCTACCTTTTGGTTTGCAGCCAAATGCTTTAACCACTGAACCACCAGAGCTCCTTCAATGCTCCTTTAAATATGCTAGAGGAGGTACTATCAAGAACTTTAGAGTCTAATATGTGTAGCCACAAAGATGGAAACATATTTTTATATCTAACTTTTCCAGTTCAGATATTTAAAACTATTCATTCATATAATATTCTAGTATATGAGCTATAATATACATATTCACCTTTGCATAAAAAAGATGGCTTTATAATTTGTTTAAAAAATTGGTATCCTTTAGTGAGGAATGACTACTTACCACAATCAATACCAGCAGTTATATCACAATCTACAACTTTGTAAATCTACAGCTGTTGTAAATACTTACCAAGTTACGTTTTCTAAGAATATAAGATTTCCAAGTGATATGACCCAAGGGCACACAACCACAACAACAACATGAATTGAAGATAGTTTTACTAAACATCAGTATAATTCAGCATGGGAGCTAGTATGCCTGGAAAAAAATAGGCATAATAATACTGGGACTTGTAGCAGCTGCCTTTCCTGATTCTTATATATTTAGAGAAAAACATACTATTCTGCCTCACTTCTTTTCTAGTAACCAATTACTTCAAGAGACTATGGCAAAACATAGATCTTATAAAGCTCCTCAAATAAATTGTTTTAATTAATTAGCAGCAGCTAACATCTAAGTGGATTTTTTAAAATTTTAAAAATTTACCTCTTGCACAATCTCTTGCATGGAGCAAGTATGCCATAGTGCAGGATAAGAAAAGTGACATGCTTACTAGCTATATATTTACAAGATAGAGAATTGGGATTGTACTAAGAACAAAGTAAAAACAAGGGTATTTTATAATAAAAAGTACCAGAAATTTTTTTTTTTTTATAAAGGAACAAGTAATAAAACCTAAACTTAGAATAAATAGTTTGTCTTCTAAGGAAAGATCATGAGATTCTAATATTGGTTTCAAATGTATAATTTGAACTTTAACTTCCTAGAAATCATTCTGTTTTCATTAATAGCATCTATCTTGTATTCATTGAAAGTAAAATCTCTTTAAACAGTGGAAAAAAGGGGGGAAAATATCTGAATTTAAACATGATATCAGGTTTTATAATATATATATATATAATTTATTGCATTTGTAAGCATAAGACAACTGATAATAAGCATGTATATCAGTAAAACTTTGCAAAGATATATTTTATTTATATAAAAGAAAAATTTTAGAAAAGGAATAAATCGTATATAACAAAGAAAAAACAATTTACTTTTTAAAATAGTATGGTATTTGTATTATTACATACATATTTATAAAATGAGTACTTTTGATATTCAAATATTTTACATGGGAGCTATACTATCCTAATCATAACATGGCAAAAGATATTTTTGGAAAATATTTGACTATATTACTTAAGCAGTACTTGTTATCTCTACAACAAACAAAAATAATAGTTTTTGGATATTAAGTAAATTAAAGTAATCGTGAGTTAAATTATTCCATAGGAAAATAATGTATCAAAAAAAGAAGTTCTCTGAGTGTTGTATAATACCCATCAGATTGCAAGAATGAGTCTAGGAGATATTTCAACATTTATGAAAATCTGAAATTTTCCAGATATATTAAAATAAAAATAGTAAGACAAAAATATCAGTGAATGAATTATTTTCATATTTTGATCACTTCTATACAGTAGCTGAAGAAAGAATGAATTAATTAATACAAAATAATTAAACTTTAAAATAGAATTTTGACTGCGTCAACATGGAATTATACTATTAAAGGCATGATTTAAAAACAGTATTTTGATGTCAGAAACTAGAACCATGTCCTCTGTGATTTTCTCTGATAAAGTAACACCATTGCTAAACAGAAACAATAAAACAGAAAGAAAATACTGCAGATAGAATTTAATGAACATAGTCTATGTTCTGATTATCAAAATTTTGTTGCTCTTCAATTATACTGTCCTAATATCTCAATTAGGCCCAGTAGAGGATTGCATATATGTGAGAGAAGGTGCCATACAACATGTGCAAGAAGAAAAACTGGAGCATGGCATGGTAAAATAAAAATGACTATGTCATGTAGCAATAACTTCAAATACTGGGCCTTCTGAGAGACTGAAAAGGTATGTTCAATGACTTATTATTTTATCTGCAATTTAAAAAAAATATACATATTGGAAAAATGCAGCTAGATAGTAATAAAGTTAAACTGTTACAAATATTCAAGTACTGCACTTACCTCATCTGGGTTGGCATTAAAGGTGAGACTGCCTTCATCCAGCTGCATATACAATTTTCTAAAAGAAAATCCTAAAGGTGGGTTCTTATTGTATATTGAACAGTGACCCCAAGTGGATTTGCACAACCTGTAAAAATAATAATAAATGAGACAAGAAAACATTATTGTATTTAATTTCCTAAGTTAAACATTCATACACGTGACAATATAGTAATATGACATGAATATTAGCTCTTATAGCTCTAAGGATTAAAGTGTTTAATTTTTATTATTTGTTTTCTAGAGTATGATAGGTAGACAACTGATATTTAGAAATTTTGATAGCACTTAATAAGACAGTAATAAAGATAACTGATATTCCTGAGTAATATCTGAAGTTAAATATAAACTATTGATGATGATAATAATAATAATAATAGCTGAGTGTTTAATAGATGCCAGGCACTATTTTAAGCATTTTAATTGGATTAACTTGCTTAATTCTTATAATAATTCCATGATGTTGGTGCTACTGAGAAACACAGAGATGTTAAATAAGTTGGTCAAGGTCACACAGTCAATATGTGTACAGACAGAATTTGAACCCAAGCTCTTACTCCAGAGCTTGCAATCTTAGTTAAGATAATAAGCTAAACTTTTATTAATAGACTAAACTAGGCCTATATAGTAAGCTATGTACACTATTGTGAAATACTCTCTAAACTGAATGGGGGAAAAGATTGCTGGCTGGGGAAGTGGAGAGAACTTTCTGTTTTTTTAACAATACACATATTAACAAGCATATTAAGCAGACAAATTATTTTAATGCCACAATTTCAATATATACATCAAAAGCTGTGATGCTAAAAGTGCAGCTGTTTTTTAAGATACTGATTCAAAACACTGATTCTTTCCTATCACACTGATATCTGATATATTATTGTTTAAAAATTCTATAAAATCCAAAATGGTAACAGTTCATAATTCACTACACACTACTATCTGAAGATTGGGACAGCTGTTTCCTGATTTTTTCTGGGGCATTAGTTACTGGTTATTACTTGAAAGGTGAAGTTTTAATCTTACTATATGCCTAGAAATTCTTATATACCTTAGATACTTAAATGCATTCTATAGAGACACATAGAATACTGGAAATACATTTTAATACACTTTTCATGAGTCGTCTCAAATTATTTTTTGTGTGTTTTCAAAAACACCTGCTACTTGTAGAGATAAACATAATCAAATAGTTTTTCTTTCTGCCATTCATTATTAATTTTTGCATCAAAATTCCCTTTCCTCATACCCACCAAGTATAGGAAAATAAGATAAAGTTATTGTCTCAGCCTGTGACATTGAAAATTGTGAGGATAAGTGGGCAAAATACTTAATTCAATATGAGAATATCCTCTTATTGGTAAATTTTGACCTTTGTATTGTTTTTACCAACTAAATGAAATTATTAATTCTAAAACTAAGTATAATAGCTTGCTTGTTGTTGTTGTTGTTTGCCTTAGAGTTGGACCTGACTCATAGTGACCCCTCCTTGGGTTTCCGAGGTGGTATCACTGTGGAAGTCCATTGCCCAACCTTCCTTCCAAGGAGTAGCTGGTGGGATTGAACTGCCACCCTTCTGGTTAGTGGTCAAAGTACCTTAGGCACTACATTACCAGAGCTCCTTAGAAAATTAAATATTTTGGCGATATCTTTTAGTCCCATAATTTTGAGTTTTATTACTGAGCTATCTGAATGCAACACAATCTCCCAACATTAAGTACTCATTACATCCAAAGTTCCAGCCACTCCTCGGAAGGAAGGTTGGGCAACTACTTCCATAGTGATACTGCCTCGGAAACCCAAGGAGGGGTTGCTATGAGTCAGGGCTGACTCAACGGCACATAACAACAACGACAACAATAACCAAAGTTAAAATAAAAATAAGCCAGGCTTTAACTTCAAATACAAACAATTTATCATTAAAAAAAAAAAAA